CTTTCTTCATCATCATTGTGATTACTGCTGACTATTGTCCAATGTAGAGCGGTTTTCAAATGTCAGTGCAATAAAACCAAAACCAAACCGATTACTTATCAATTAGACTACTGAGCTCATCTTAACCATTGTAATTTAAACAAAACCAAAACCAAAGTAATTGCCTGATTACTTTCGATACTCTGAAAACTGCTCTTATATTATTTAAGCTCCCATAAAGAAAGTGTCTCTAAGGTTTTTATCATGATCCTTTTTATCTCAGCAACGGCTGATTGGTTCATATCAATCACAAAGTTGCAAAATTCACTGTTAAGGGAACCTAACTGAACCTACTTCTTTACTGCTTGAACATAGTCCATTGTTCTGTAGTCAATGGCATGTGTTATTCCATTTGCAAGAATGGTTTCATGCTTGGATAAAAACAGAAACAAACTATTAAAATCAAATATGATTTGGTAAGTTGTAAATGATATATCAATAATAAATAAGATCAGGCCATTCACACTGGGGATATATGGTAGTCAGCTACATTTAGTCTGTCAGCGAGTCTATCTTTCAATCTGTCTGCCTGTCTATCTGCCAGTCAGTCAGTCACACAGGCAGGCTGTCAAACTGGTAAGAATTACATATTAACTTATGTGGTTGATACACTTAATAGATAAGGTAACAGTGTATCAAAGAGATTTGACAAAGTTTAAAAGAAAGTGCAACAATATTCAAGTTTAGGTTGCCCTGCTCTCAAATTCAGAAGAGGGCAACCTAGACTTGAGGACAGATTTAACCTATCTCACTACCCGAGCTAGTAACCTAGTCTCGGCTATATGTGCAGTGGTTGTTCATGTGACGTGCGTACCTTTGAAGCTGAAGCTGTACCAAATGTGGTAACTCCTTCCACTGTCTTACAAAGCTGTGTGGCTGCAACACCCTGGAAAATAAATGATGATTTGCAAATTCATTAGCAAGGAACATCTGCAACAACAGCTTTTACTACCAATGTGCGTAGATGAGAAATAGAAAATGACACAAATGTTTACATAGCCTGACGTCAAAGTCAGTTAAAGATTTGGAGAATTTTAAAGTTAATTATGTAAACCTAAGCTGCAGGCAGAAGTATTCAAAAGTACTTAAAACTTTCTTGGCTGTCTTCAAACTCTATATGTAAACAAATGCCCATTTTATTTCTTTATGAAAGGAAGTCAACAAAAGACAGATGTTTGAAGATTTTTTACAATAATGTTCTGAAGATTCCCAAAGACATTTAGAGCATTTCCCAGGACCAGTCCCAAAATGTTTTTTGCCAAAACCACCACTGTCAACAGAATTTTCCTTTGAAAATGGGAGAATTATGGGAAGCATATTGGCATTTACATGAACTTTTCTTAATTTCTTTCACTGGTTTGAGTGTATATAATTTTCAAAACTGTTTCAGTTGAGGTATGTAGTAACGTTCTCAGCAGGAGGGTAACTGGTTTTCACAGGTGGGCAAAACTATTTGAACTCTACTTGTTTTAAGAAAAACTGTGTGCTAGATGGTCAAACCAGCTGGGCAAAATCATTGTCACAGCCAGTCTATTTGCCCGGTGCCCAGCCTGTAATGAAAACCCTGAAGAGCTGAAATATTTCAGTTACACGTACAAAATTGGTCTAGACACATGAAACCCAAGTTCTCAAACTGCAGATAAGAGGCTCATATTTAAGGCATGAAACTAATGGAAGGTAATACTCTTTTCCTGGGGATGAAGACAGATGTCTGTTTACTTGGATTATGTATACAGCAGTCTTTTTCTTACCACTCCACCAGCTGCCATGTGAATCAGGACACTTTTCCTTGCACCCAGATTAGAACAGTGAAAAAGCATTAAATATGCAGTGAGGTATGTGATAGGAATTGCAGCTGCATCCTCAAAACTCATGCTCTCTGGAATAACAAAGCATGTGCTGGCTGGAATACAGGTATACTCTGACCAGGCACCATCTGTAGTCAAGCAAGTTACACGTGAACCAACCTGCAGGGATCAAGGGCAACAAACAACTACTCGAAATGAATTACGTGGCTGATGCAACTGCAGATCAGTCTTCAACTAGGTGAAAGACATAAGAAAGTGACTGGAAATAACATTTAATATATAGACATGACATTTTTTTATTACCGGAAATACACCAACTGTAAAACTCATACATTGTGCAAAACTAGATCCGGGACTTGAGTATATATATCTTCAATGAAGTTGTTTCTTACTTTTTCACGGTTGTTTGTGCAAACAGTCAGTCTGTTACTCCCTCGCTGCGCTTGTTTGCTATTAATATTGTTTTTACTCACTCAAAAATAAAATTCATATCTTTGTGACACCATGTAATATCCTCTATTTATATTTTCTTCTATGAAAATCTTTCCCCTACAACCTAGAATATGCACAGGACCAAAACACAATAGGTACCTGGGCAAAGAAATCTCTGGGGAGTGGGAGAGAGGCAATTTCTGAGTATTTTGTCTGTATGGCAAAATCCCAACCAAGAAAGAACCAATCAGAATGCTTGAATTTACCTTGCCATATAATAAAATAATAATTGTATTACAAATAAAACAGAAAAAGCAGACATCCTGAATTAAACTTAAAACTAAAACAATTCACCATGATATGTTGTGTAATGGAGAACTTACCTCTAATCCTGTGACACCTTCACCAAGCTCCTCTACAGTTCCAGAACATTCCAAACCAGGAATGAATGGAGGTTTTCGTGGACTGGGATAAAGTCCTTGGCGTTGTGCTATGTCCGCAAAATTGAGGCCACTAAGTGATTTAAAAAAAAATAGTGGTTTATTTTCCAAGACAGCATATATTCAAAACTTATCCAATATATTTTTCATTAACTTTTATTTTTTTTTTTGCATTTACCAACAAAGCATCAAGGAAAGGCAATTTCCAGTAAATTACCCAGCAATTACTCACTCATTTCTTAACAACATTTTAAAAGGTTATATACAAAATGTAACTTTTTAAGGTTGCTCAAAACAGTTTCCAACACTTTTCAAGACTGCTATGGTAACCTACTGTGTCATGAAAATGATAAAAATGTGTTCACCAATGAGTTTAGTGAAGTTAAGGATACACTTGGGAGTTTCTAGAGCACTCAAGCAGCTGGTACAATTTAATAAAACTTTTACATTACAAATCAGACCATTGCATTTCCTAGTGCACACGAAAATGAGTTCAACAAAAATCGTTACAAGTCCTGCAGGTTACAAGTGTCCGACTTGTAATTACAGGTATAGCGCTTCACATGTAAAAGATGGTAAGAATCAAATTTAAATAAAACTTTTACAAGAGTTCGCCTTTTATTTTTACCAGAGTCCAACTTGTAAATCACAAGTGCAAAATACAACTTCAACTTATGCCCTAGAATATGTAAAGGACCAAAACACAACAGNCATGTTGATTAATTCACCTTCACATTTCATTACCGAGCTTAAAACTCACCATCTTTATTAACTTATCACATTCTTATTGTTTAAAATTGTGCTCTGATTGGTTGAAAACCTTGAGGTAGCCCTGGTTGAAGTCATTGTATTGTAAGATTTCAGCAGAGTAGCCAGTTTTCACATCACTGAATTTACTATTACATTTTCCAAGACTTTATACTTACATTTCTGGCTAAATTAAAGACACTCTTTGATTCAGAAACAGCATTAGCCATTCCTGTCAGAGAAAAGAACAATAATCAATACAATAAACCTACTTTGTTTTTTTTTTTATTCTCATTTAGCTGTCAATTAGAACCTCATACTCGTTATTATACTCCTCATAATCTATATCATTTCGCAATTTTTAAGATAGCAGTATGAATATAACGTACAGCATGAGGATGGCTTTTATATTTCAGTCCAGTTGCCTTCCCACAGAGTCCGCGCTTGTGCCAGTAACCGACTAGTTGAATAGGAGATGGTCAGTCTGATATCTTTGTGAAATGAGATAATCAATGACACATGCAATATGATTTAAAAGTTGTACTGTCTTTTACTCATTTTTGTACTTGTGCTCTGAGAACAGAAATGCAGACCTTCAAAAATGATTACTTAAGGTGGCTTACTACAGTTTTGATGAATTAAAACAGCCCAACTTCTAACATCTTTTGATCTCTTTTGATCATCTTTCCAAGATGTTTTTCCTTTCTCTATTTACTGTTTGCTTAAGTCTTTTACCATTCTGTGTGAAACTTGAACAATTTAACGTCAACAGATGGCCAAAATGAATGACTGAGTACCTAAGGAGAGACTAAGCACTTGTAGGTTAAATAACGTTTTTCTCAAAATCTACCCATATGACCCAACCTCAAAATTTCAGGAATAAGAAATTGGCTGATTTAACACTCATGCAAAGTAAAATAAAAATCTGTAAGACAGATTTTGAGCTATTTTTGATTTCACATCTTCTTAGTTTGCAAAAAATCTGTCTTACAGATTTTTATTTTTAAAGACTAGTAAACAGTAAATAGAGAAAGGAAAAACATCTTGGAACATTTTTTAAAAGAGTTAGAAGTTGGGCTGTTATAATCCATCAAAACTGTAGTAAGCCACCTTAACTTAAGGAAAGGGTACAATATTCTTATAGCCTCATGGTTATTGTGCTCAACTAAGGACTGAGCGGTTCGGCTTAAAGTAAGGAAAAACTTATTAGGCAGCCACTTTACAACATAGAGACAATTTTTACCACAGACTGTCAATATATTAACTTAGCAATAGTTAGCTTTAGGAATGTATATCTTCATTTATCTTTATAAATTAATCATTTTAGCTAGATATTAAAAGATAAAGAGAGCCACCTTGTGGATATACAGTTAATAAAATTTTACAACGATGATGATTATGATCATTATTAAATTTTCTGTCAAAATGTCATTGACCAAATCCAACTTACCAAAGCAAACAAGACTTCCCAAGGGTTTTAACAGACTGTATCCCTTCTTTGTGTCAGCACCTCCAAGGGGATCAAGCACAATGTCTACTCCTTCTGGACAAACCCTGAAAAAACACATTACCATAATAATTATTATTTATTCACTGGTGCAGTGTCAGAGAAAGAAATTATCTGACTAAATTAACCCTGTCACACCCAAAGTTATAACTTAAGTGGTGTTGTGTGGTTCTGAAATCTTTAATGTTGTGAGTGTGACCATTCAAATCAAAGTTACTAGGCTGTACTCTTCTGTGGTTAATAGTGTTAACTTTATTTTTTTTGGATTAAATTTGGTATTTTTTTTTTTCAATTTACTGGTATTTAATAAATTTAGGTTATTGCTTTCTTCATCATCATTGTGATTACTGCTGACTATTGTCCAACGTAGAGCAGTTTTCAAATGTCAGTGCAATAAAACCAAAACCAAACCGATTACTTATCAATTAGACTACTGAGCTCATCTTAACCATTGTAATTTAAACAAAACCAAAACCAAAGTAATTGCCTGATTACTTTCGATACTCTGAAAACTGCTCTTATATTATTTAAGCTCCCATAAAGA